ATGGCTGCAATATAACAAAGAGTGAAAAATTTAAGTGGGTCTGAATACTTTCCGTACCCACTGTATATATATATATATTATACACACACACATATACACACGCACACACACACACACACACACACACACAAAGAAAAACAAGTAGAATGAATAGAAAAAATAGAAAGCTAGTGTTGGTTTGTTTTTTGTTTTGTTTTTTTTTTATAAAAAAAGAAGCTAAATATAGATAAAGTAGAATTAAAATAGAATAGAAAGTGTTAGAGTTAGAGGGTCAAATAAAGGTGGAACAGATGTGTTTTTAGTGTTATGTGTTTATATGTTTTTGTGTTTTTTTATGTGAAACATAAGCAGTACGTTCACATTCTTCCACCAACTAACGGAACTGTCTGTGTTTTAGTGCATAGAATAAAACGGTGCGTTTCCACTGGCACGTAGCGAGCGTTTTCAATTCATTCCTATAGAAGTTGAGCTTAAACGCTCGCGTGGTATATATTATGGGATTGAAAGAGGCTGTATATATATATATATTATACACACACACATATACACACGCACACACACACACACACACACACACACACACACACACTTTTTTTTTATATAAAAAGAAGCTAAATATAGATAAAGTAGAATTAAAATAGAATAGAAAGTGTTAGAATTAGAGGGTCAAATAAAGGTGGAACAGATGTGTTTTTAGTCGTTTCTTGAAGATGGGTAAGGACTCAGCTGCTCGGATTGATTTGGGCAGGTCATTATTCACTGAGGAAAGCAATATTATGGATAGAAGACTTGTTTGAAGTAAAAACACCTTGATGGATTTTCACTTCACAAAACATTAATTAATGGACTGGAGTGGCGTAGATTACTTGTGGATTATTGTGATGTTTTTATCAGCTCTGTGGACTCTTATTCTGACGGCACATATTCAGTGCAGAGGATCTGGTGGTGGGCCACTGATGTAATGCCACATTTCTCCAAATCTGTTCCAATGAAGCAGTCTACATCTTGGATGACCCAGAGATTGAATACAGTGAACAATTCCTCCCACTGATGGGATTTATTTTTTAATTTTTTTGTTAATATCTGTCTTCTTGGTTTGAGCACATACATACATCACATTGCATCACCTTCCTGCTCGCCCCAAAAGCATGATGATAATTATTACTGAGACTTAAGGACAGAGCTCAGTATTAAGTAAGTTTACTATTTCATCCATTTCATAGTGATATTCTCTGGGGTCATTCTGTGTCAACTCAACTAAAGGTCTCCGGCTCAGATATTTGATTTTGTTTATATTTTTCTGAAGAAAGATAAACATGTATAGCGATAAAAGCCAAAATATTGGATCATGGATGTATATTTACTGAGTTGTATTCAACTATTTTGTAGAGGGGGGTCAAATGATAATTTCCACAGATTCAGAGCCAAATTACAGGGGGGTAAAAATGACTTTATAAAGATGGCAGCATCATTAAGTTGTTTTCACACAGAGATCAGCAGGTCTGTAAGTAAAATCTGTTGACTTCAGCAATCTTTGTTGCATTATATTTCAATGCTGACATTTCAAAAATGGGGGAAAACACTTTTCAACTTTTTTTTTCTCCAAAGTTTGCAGGCCTGTAACTCAAGAAATATTACAGCTATCTTAATGCCTTTTTAGATTTTGGGTTTTAACAAACTTTTCTTTTAGCATCTTAATTTTTAAAGCTCTATCTGGCCACATTTCAGTGATATTGGGATCTCAATGGCTCCAGGAGTAAATTGTTAAATTGTACACATTTTTTTCAGTGGTCAAAACCCAAATGTGGGTCACTTTGCATACAGCTGATTCTTTTTTTTTCTTTTCAAGAGGAATGTTTGAAGAACAAATAATGTTTGTTCTAGAATGTATCTTGTTTCCCTCTATCAAAACAATTCCATAGCTCATACCCGTCTCATTGTCATATATATTATTTTTCCAAAGTTTGCGTGCCTGTAACTCAAGAAAGATATCTCAATTTGATTTTACATTCTGGTTCTGAATTCTGATTGATTTGACACAGAATGACCCTCTATTGTTTTTACTCACACTAACACATATACTGATGGCAGAATGACATAAATGACTCATTGCATCATCTTTACGGGAACACTTTGTTTTTTTGTAAGAAAACACATTCTAAGGGATACATCAGGTAAATATGTGGGAGGAGTTTTATCTTCTCATTCAGAACAACTTACAAAATGAAAAAGTCAACACAGTATTGTTTTATTATTTAAATGCCATTATGACTCAGAATTGCTGAAAGAGTCTGCACCTAAAGATATAGACGTATTTGTTTTTGTATAGATGAGGTCTGTTGTAGGGGCTACATGATCAAATCAGAGGGGATCCTCTATTTTGATGTGCCAGACTGCTAACAAAGTTGTCGTTGTAAAATGAAAAAAAAAAAAAATGTTAAAGTATAGTTAACAGAAATGTTGTTAGTAGTTATTCACCCTCATGTTGTTCCCTTTTCTGTGGAACACAAAAGGAGAATTTTGAGGAATCCTTGTGCACCATAGACTACCTTAAAACTAATCCATACATTTTACAATATATTTGTAAGCATTAAATACCATATTAAATAAAAGTATTTTTTTCTTTGAAATGTAAAAAGTATTATACATTTACTGTAAATATATATTGTTTGTGAGTGGATGGATGTCAGTGTTTATGAATGCTTTGCCACTGACAAAGTAAAAAAAAAAAACTATTTGAAGTAAACGGTTGTTGTACACTATAGTCCAAACTAAGTGCCTCTTCCCTGCAGGCAGTTTCCTCTTCTTTTGTAAATATTACAATATATTACAGTAAGATCAGGCTATGGGAGTGTAAACGTGCACCGTTATTCATGTGTAACCTCATCTTCTTATCTCCTCAAAGTATTAATTATGTATATTAAGGTCACTTTCACTTGCTGTGAAATAGGTTTTGTGCACTGCACATTTGAAAAAACAATGAAACCTTGTGGTGATTCAGACAGGAAAGCTGCCTTAAATAGGTGTATATTATAAGATCAGTTCACTAACCTAAATAAAGGTCAGTTTGGTGCACCAGCTTTCAGACACATTTGAGTCTTTGGTTTGCCATTCAGACTCAAAAAGAAAATCTCACAGTGAGCCATCAGTTTGGAATTATTTGCTAAATTGTTTTACTATGTTTTGCCATCTTTGTGATTACACTTTTATGTCCTTCCCCTACAACTCTATACTTCTCCCTTTCCAACCAACCCTAACACTGGTTTAGTGACATCAAATGTAACTTCCCCTTCCTACCACATCATCAGGTCGACTGGCTTTCAAAAGGCATTATTTCAGAGTCTGGACTCACACATACTCATAATCGGCACTGGAATCATCATGGCAGCAGAGGTATGCAAATCTATAGCTGATCAATGTCTATGTTAGTTGATAAATGTATCCAGTAGAAAACATTTCATGTGTGACATCTTATAGGGGAATCTTGTTTGTGGCGGTGTTATGTTGCTCCACACTCAACGTGAAGGCAAACACTCATATGAAGTGAAAGGCTTTTTAAACTATAACAAAGGAATATTCGCAAGGTGAGATAATCTCTATCTATCTATCTATCTATCTATCTATCTATCTATCTATCTGTCTATCTGTCTATCTGTCTATCTATCTATCTATCTATCTATCTATCTATCTATCTATCTATCTATCTATCTATCTA